AGCTCGGCCGCTCGGGCCCTGACTGTGCGTTTGTGCTGCAGATCTCGGTGCTGGGGACGCCTGCGGAAGAGCAAGGAGGAGGGAAGATAGAGTTGATAAAGGCTGGAGCGTTTGGCGGCCTGGATGTGGTTTTTATGGCACACCCCTCGCAAGAAAACGCGGCTTACCTGCCCGATGTGGCCGAGCACGAGTGAGTGAGCGGGCTCAGGTGGAAAGTGTTGGCTTGTTATTGCCCTTTTCTCCCCTCCCCGAGTAGGAGGAGGTTGAACTTGGGGCCGGGGACCTTGCAGGTGCCCTTCAGATGAAGTGCTGGCAGTCAGCTGAGGAGCCAGGTCGCTGTTCTGGACACTGAGCCGTTTTGCGGTTTTCAGCCTCGTGTTCAAGATCCCGGTCTGCTCTGACGTGATCTTGCCTATGTCCCAAAAATCCATTCTTTCTTCTGATGTTTCTAGGCGTTTCTCTTTAAACATGAACGTGATTATCTTATCTGTTACAAAAAGGCAACTGGAGGGAGTCGCATGGATTGTAGTTGTTGCTCACCTAGGCACCAGGTCATGTAGTCCTCTCTACAGATTTTATTTTAATCAGTTTTGAAAGTGTTTCATGTTTTCTCTCCCACTTTTGGAAGAGCCAGCTATCTGAGCCTGCCTGCTGTTTGGATCCTTATTAACTTCAGCCTAAATTTAGTCATGGCCATTTTATATCTATTAACTCTACCATCAACTTTTTTTTTTTGTTCAAACTAGTTCTTGTCTTTCCTTCATGTTTACCCCTAATGTAAGACAGCAGTCATACCCTCACTCAGTTATTTTTTGCCAGCTAGCCATATAGCTCTTCAGAAATTATGCCTTGTCTTCTTTTGATTAGCCCTGCTGTTCAGTGACAGCACGTGTTCGTTTGTACTTGGAGTCACTTGACTTGTCTTGGAGTACTTCTTGCTGGATGTGCATAACCAGAATTGCACACAGTACACGAGGTGGAATTTCCTTAGGCTGTACTCAGCTGATGCTGGGACCATAGTGTCTACTTAGCTTAGCATTTTGGAGGCAGCTGGCATGTTTGGGGCTTCCTCTTCAGTCATTTTCAAGCAATCAACTCTTAGACAAATGCTTAGTCTGTAAGTACATGGTATTTTAAAATATTTTTGAGCTTCATTTTGTCCTTTCTCTGGCAGTCTGCAAGGACATGCTGTTCTTCCTTTGATATTATAAACCTCTTCTGTTTTTATAGTGTTCCAGCACTGGTCCATCAGCAAGTTTTATTATTACATTTTATGGCATGGTTACTTATGGGTCTTGATCCCAAGGTCTTTTTCTTGCAGAAACTCCACTAGTAACCTCACTCTCGTGCAACAGTTTTTTCCAAGTATTATGTTTGGCTGTCTCCGACTAAATTCTGTAGTATTTGAATAACTGCTTTTCCAACTGTTTCTGACTTGATGTACTGAGAGCTGTTTTCATCTTGCTTGTGCTACCTTCCAGCTCCTATGTGCTTGATTTTATTGGCCATTGTGCTTTTGCCAGTGCTTTTCCTGGTGGATAATTTGCTTCTGTTACTGCTAAGTTTTATGGTAAAAGTGACAAGAGTAGCAACACTAGTGTTCCTTACCTAGCTAGCTCTCTGCTGTATTCCATCATTGTGTTTCTAAAGAGTCATAATTGGTTATTGTAATCTCCTTCCAAACTTATCTCAGCTTGGCTTTTGGTTGCTGCACTTTAAGGCTCTATTTATGATCTTCAAGATAAGAGTTTTCATTGGTAGTTTTGTCTTTCTGTTCATTTCAACTCTTGCAATAGCCTTTTCAGCTTGATACAGTAAGATTTGGAAATCTCCTGTCAGAAGTGATGGTCTGCTGTAGGATGCAGGTCCTAGATAGCCTTTAAGCCTTGAATATGGAGGAGGCATAGAACTGAAGTACTGAGTGAAACATACCTCCAAAAGCTTGAAATACTCATCTGATGTAATGATTTATGTAATCATGAGATTCCAAAGGTCCAAAGACTGTTTTTGTGGCTCATAATTGATCTTTTGGTTGTTTCCAAGGAAATTAAGGACTGGTGATCACTAAATTGCTAGTATTACTATATCTCCAAAACTCTGAAGCTGGCTTATGCCTGAAGCAAAATCAACAGACTGGGATAACTGGTGAATACATGCCAAAAATTTCTGATTCTTATTCACTTATCCTTCACCTAATCAGCCTATTTATTCTTGGTCAAACAGGATCTGCATTCTGCTGATGCTCTTAAACTGGCTTAAGGTTTTGTTATTCACTAAAATCTGGTGGGGTTTTTCTGAGACAATGTGACATTTATTTAGCAGTAGAAGTACAAGAAAAGGAATGCTGTAAGAACTTTTTTTTTAAGAAGATCGTGTTTCAGGGGCAGGGGGGAGGAAAGATTGCAACATGAGTTTCTGCTTTACTTTTCCTTCTCTTTTTTTTTTTTCCTAAGAATAGGGATCTGTCCTGCTGCCTTTGAGTTGAGTTGAGGGGTTGCAGTCTTATACTTGGGATGTAATGGATTTTCATACCTTGATTTCATAATCATGATGAATTTTAAATAAAACTGATACTTTACAGTATGGGATGAAGAGGATGAGGGAGAATAGAAAAAGGCATAGTTAATTTGGATTGCAGGCAGTAGCAAGAGACATTTTCTGCTTCATCAGTACACTCCGTTGTGTCCTTCTTTGCTATCCAGTTTTTAAGTTCTAGTATTAACTTGCATCTGTGGTGTGGTTCAGAGAATAAGAGGTCAGTTCAGGATAAGTGGCTGAGTTGGCATCTGTGCAGGACAGAGGGACAAGCAAGTGAGGCTGATTCTAGCTGGGTAAGAGGCAGGTTGTGCATCTTGTCAGGATAGGGGTGCAGGAGGAGTGGAGGCAGAACTCTTTGCGCTTGAGGATGGAGTATTTTATGTAAGGGACTGGGTATTGAGTACAGATTTAGTTAAAATATCTACTATTGATTAAAAAAACCCTGATATTTGGGTATTTGGTAACTAGTAATGCCTTATAGAGTTGTCAATATTTAGTATTTGCCTCTCATGTAAAGAGTTTTAATATAATTTGAAATATTAAATTATTTCTTAAGGCTAATATAAATGGCCTTAATTTATATTTACTGGCTATGTTTAGGTGCAGTATTTTATGACTTCATCAAAATTGGAGGATAACATTTGCATTAGATTTCTTGCTTGTTGCAAGCCTTTCTACCAGAGGTGTGCAGGGAAAGACCATCTTTGCTGTAGCATGGTAATGTATATTTTGTGCTAGGCTATGCCTTCACTGCACTTTTAACAACTTGACTTTTGTTATTTAGTCGTGGCTTGTATGTGATCTCAGTGATGTGCTTTTGCTGTTTTAGGTACCATACACATTTTATTGTAGTTTGAGAATTAGGACAATAAACTTATAATTTTGAATAAGAGAAAAGGGTTTTATATCCTCTGTTTGAGAATAATGTTAGTAACTTTGTCTCAGAACAGTCAGGAAGTATAAAAAAAAAAAAACAGTGGGGACATTTAATTAGTATGTGAAGGCTGTCCTTCTCAGGAAAAGGCTGTATAGTGTTCCTTGTAGCTCTTTTGCCCGATTGGCTCTCAATACTGTTCCATTTCATTGGTTTTCTAGAAATCTTTCAGCATCTTCGTGCACTCAAAGACAGTTCAACTTTGCAACAGTGTTCTGGTGCTGCACAAAACTTAAATAGCAAGTATTTGTGTGAACAAAAGGAACTTTTAATTTTAGAGACTTTTTTCAGTGAATGAAAAACAAATAAGCAATGCCTTTTATTTCCTAGTGTGACTGTGAAATACTATGGAAAAGCTTCTCATGCTGCTGCTTATCCTTGGGAAGGAGTTAATGCATTAGATGCTGCTGTTCTTGCATACAACAATCTGTCTGTTTTAAGACAGCAAATGAAACCGACCTGGAGAGTTCATGGTGAGATCTTCATTAAATCTAATGTCCAGCAAGTAAGAGTTTAGGCTGTTGAAATACTAACTTAAAACATTCCACAATTTAAAATATTATGTTATTGCACTAAGTTAGCAGAATCACTTCAAATATAATGAAATAGTACCATCTCATTTAAATAGTTTATCTGTAATCTTTAAAATAATGTCAGTGTCCAGAAGTAACCTCAGGAAATAGGTTCATGGGTCAGAGTCAAAAGAGGACACTGGTACCTAGGTAGAGCTAGACAAATTTTAAGTCTTTGCACTTGAAGTTGCCGTTCAGAAAGGAAAGGAAAAAAAAAACCTAAGTTTATTTGGGTACATGGCTTTGAATTACTTAAAGTTAATGTATGTGTTTTTGCAAAGGTGTAAGATGAAATGCTTCTGAAAAGTTAAGTATTATTTACTGCATCATATTTGTAGTACACATTCCATTAATGAGTTAGCATTTATATTGACATTTATGGAGAGGTGTGGTGGTTTAGAGTGACTGAAGTTTATTTGCTGAAGTATAAAAAGCAAGTGATGGCGGAAGCCTATAGGTCTGGTTAGCAGCCCAATCAACTAGACGTGCACTGGATTCTAATATTTACTATTTCTTTTTGTACAGTGCAAAAGTTTCAGAAGTTGAGGTGGAAGCTGCCCTTTTGCTATAAACCCAGGTTTCCCTTATTACACCCAACACACCTTTTTCCAAGTTGAAATTAAGAAGCTTTGCCATTTCTATGAGACTTAGGAGTGTAGAACTGTTTATTTGGAAAACTTGTGGGTTTAAAACACTTTCAGAAGTTCTGAGCTAATTATCATTATACATCTTGGCTGCTTGTGCTGTATAATATATATGTTTATTTCTCTCCAGATTATCTGGATGACGTCTGGAAGCCCTAACCCTTTTGACTGTAGGTGAAGATGTTTGCAGTTCTGCTGTGCAGCATACCCAAATGAGTTTCAAACAGTGGGCTTACCCTTAGCTCTCTGTCCTATTGCTCTGCAGGAAACAAGGCACTTAGTTATGAGTTTTGGTGTCCGAAACTCATGTGTTGCAGGTTTAAGATTGGGGGTGCCTAAGTCTTCTATTGGATCTGAACCTAAACCCCTGAATACTGCTTTCTTCGTAGTTTGTAAAGACTGCATGGGTAACATAGGCAAAAACCCAAGTATCTAAACAGGCCTCCTAGAGGTAACACTGCCCCAACCACAGCAAAACTTAAATTACTGTGTTGATACAGTTACTGTCATATACCTGGATTTTAAACTGGAAATATTTAAAATACCTTTGGGAATGTATAAGCAGCCAGAATGAGATTTGATTTTAGGAATGCTTCCTTTACAACAGTGTGTTGGAGGTCTTGTGTTGCAGGCTTGCAGTGACAGCTGTAGCTGCCTTACAAGATCCTAAAAATCTTAGTGTTAACCTACTCACAAGAACTAAAGTATTTTCCATTAGCTGAAGGCTAGAATTTCTAAACAATGTTTTATGTACTTGAACAGTGTTGGTTTGAGTTGTTTAATATTTCATAAGTTTCTTCCCTGCTTAGGAGTGAAGTAAATGTTGCTCCCTTAAAAAACAATGTAGATTTTTTTTTCTGCTCAAGAAATTGTATTAAACAGGCTGTAAAAAAATTCCCTCTAGAAGCAGGGCAAGCTAGGTGCTATTAGTAGTGTGCAGGCAGCCTGCTAACAAGCTAGATCTGCTGCCCAGTTCATATTGCAGTTCCTTTGAAATTTAAGTGTAGATGATGTACTCTTAGACTCTGTCAAGTTAAATTTAACAAATGTGTTGTGTTGGAAGACAATTGAAAGCTCGTGAAGCTACTTGTTTTGAGCAAAGATGTTATGACGTGTGTCATGCAGATTTGCGTGATCACTGACTTGCTGGTTCCTTTTCTGTGATGTCTGTCCCTCAGCTGAGCTGTTCCTTCTGTATGGACTAGTACTGGTAGTGGTTTAATTCAGCACTCTGTTTACTTGACTGTATTTGAGACTGGAAAGGTTTTACTTGAGGGGCAAGTTAATAGTTTTAATAGGTTTTCTGTACCAAAAAGTAAAGTTTCGTTGCCTGTTTGCATCCTGATCATGCTATCTTTTCAGGCTTCAGTGGCACACCTCTGTAACTTTGTGCAGTATTTCCATTTAAGGTAGATAGTTTCTCAGGTTCTACAGAAAACAAATCTCATTCCACATCTATAAATTGAGGATAGGAGGGCAGGGAAACAAGCAGACTGTTGAAGGTAATGAGCTGTTAATGCATTGAAATCTAATGTAGAGTTGAGTTCTACAATGTTTTTCTGTTGAATTATTTAAATATTATGGGCTTTTATGGTAATACCTCTGCCATAATTAAAAATTATATTGTTGTCACACATTTCCTCAAGGGAACACTTTCAACTCCAACTTCACTCTTGAATAAAACTGTACCTATACTATACACCCCAATATTTCTAAAGAGTTAGTATGAGGAATCTAATGAACTTTCTGTGCGTTATAAGGCACACTTTACTCCAGTATTGCTGAGAAATGCAAATTAGTCTATTTGTCTCCAAGCTGGCAAAATAAGTTGGAAACAGTCTAGTTGAGGAAGCTTTTAAAAGCTGGAATCCAAGGTAGCCTTTATAACTTTTTTTTTTCTTTTTCAGTGGCAGCCAAATTGCTTTACGACTCTGATGCACTGAATGTCAGGGGATTAGTTACAAATGTTAGTTTGGTTTGTCTTTAGGTTTATAGCAGGTGTCTAATCAAAGAATTCAATTAAATTGTGCTGAAAAACATGTACACATTCCATTTAATCTGATGGGATGAAACAACTTTGTCTACACACTGTATTTTTGACATTCTTATGTATTTCATGCTCAGTTGATGTTTTGTTGTTTTTGATTATATATTTTGTTCTTGAGCAAGGAGTTTTGTGACATCGCTGAAGATCAGGCATTTGTATTTAACACTAGTAACATGACTTTTCCCTTTCTGCAGGTGTAATAAAAAATGGTGGTGTGAAACCTAACATCATTCCTTCTTACACTGAACTAGAGTTTTACTTGCGTGCCCCTTCGATTAAAGATCTTTCTGTTCTGACAGAGAAGGTTGAGAACTGCTTCAAATCTGCAGCACTGGCCACAGGATGCAAAGTAAGAATGTATTCATGGTCATGTGTTTCTATGACGCTGGAGATAAAGTAGGCCAGAATAGGAAATCAGGGCTTACAGCATTTGCATAGTGTTCAGCTGAAAGAAATCAAACTGTCAGTAATACTGTTTGCTATTCTATCGCGTGTACTGGAATAAAGCTTTGTTTTATAAATAGAATGCCACAGAATCACAGGATAATCTGGGTTGGGAGAGAGAGACTGCCAGAGGTCATCTAGTCTAACCCTGTGTTCAGAGCCGGACCGGTTAGAGCAGATTGCTTAGTGCCATGTGGACTTCTGAGTTACCTCCAAGGATGAAATTCTACAACCTCTCCCAACAGTGCTCTCACCACCTCATGGTGAACAAGGTTTTTCCTGATGTTTATACTGTGATGACTGAGCACAGTAACAGGTTACCTGGAGAGATTGTGGTGTTCCCATCCTTGCAGATAGTCAAAAGGTGCATTGATACGGTCGTGCACAACCAGCTCTAGGTGAGCCTGCTTGAGCAGGAGAGTTGGAGATGACCTCCAGAGGTCTGCTCTTCCATGAATCTGTGCTGGATAGTCACAGTTGCCTTGTGATCACGTACTTGGGACATGGGTCTTAGGAAGATTTATTTACTCTATAATCTCCCCAGGAGCTTGAGGATAGGATGGTCTGATCAGTCTGTAATTTCCAAGATCCTGCTTCTGGTCTTTCAAGGTGGATGTGACCTTTAGCTCTTTTTCAGTGAACTGGAGCATCCCTCATTTCCTTTGCCCCATTAAACAGCCGGCTCATGTAGCAACCAAAGGTGAAAAATTGAGTGATTTTTTCAGTTAGCATTCTTCTCTTTTTTTGCTTTTAGTAAATGGAAGTGTCTCTCCTGCAGCTGGTTCCATCAATATCATTACCTTGCAATGTATTGCTAAGATAGATGGTTCTGTGTGCTTCGTAGTTTCAGGTTGATGGATAATACAGCTACGAAAAGAACGTATATGCTCATCAGAGCAAATAGTTACAGAGTATATGAATGTGAGCTAGTGAGTTTTAAGGCCTCTCTGAGGCAGTAGATGCTGTTTTCCTAGTATGGCCCCTCTACTCTAGCTAGAAAAGGATTTCAGAAATGTAGTTCATGCAGAATGAAAGTTAAGATCTCTTTTGAAACTTGGAATTAGTATGTTTTTTATGTTTGTTTTCAGACATCTTGCCTGTGTGAAGTAATTTCATGAATGGGGCTGTAGTTACTGAAAGTGTTCTAAACAACAATAGTAAAATAAAATTTGATGAAGGACTGATTTGATTTCTATGTCCTTTAGTAGTACCTGCAGTGGAGTTGATTAGAAGTTGTTACAGGAAATGTTTGCTTACTGTTTTTGGAGATGCTGTCTGTGAAATCCATGCTTCTGGAATTTGGCTGTCTAGTGCAAGCTTGACAGAACACCAGCTGTGTTTTGATCAAAGCTAGTGTTTGTCAGAATGTCGTATTTTTGAAATAAACTTGGCACTTAATGTCTGTTTTGATATGGGCTTGAAGTGTTGACAAGTATTTAACTTTTCCAGGTTTTAAATTGTTTACATTAAATTGTCATAGGTTGGTGAAAAAATTCTAATAATTTGTGGCTTTTGTCTAGGTGGAAATAAAAGGTGGTGAAAATGATTACTACAATGTACTTCCAAATAAGAGCCTGCAGAACGTTTACAAGGAGAATGGAAAGAAGCTTGGAATAGAGTTTGTATCAGAAGACTGTATCTTGAATGGTTTGTCAGGTAACTTGATCTGGGTTTTTTGTTATGACTTAAGCTTAGATTGATCAGCTCTTAATTGTATAAAATAATAGGATAGAGGTAGGTTAAACATTGTCTGGTCAGAAGAAGAAAAAAGCCGAATTAGAGAATTGAAGCTCTGTAAAAGGGTCATACCTCTGGCTTGTGTTTCTGTATTTGTTGCAGAAGCTGAGAAATTTTCCCAACAGATCTGGAGAGCAGTAATGATTTTCTGATAATATTTCTGTAAATATTTAAAGTAAGAAACAGTTTGGTTGGAGGGGAGGGATGGAAGGTTGGGAAGATAAGAACTGTCTTACTGAGCGCATGAGGATGTGGAATGAATTGCGACTCATTCTTTGAAATACAGAATTCTGGTTTATGCTATGAGTGGAGATGAGACTTAGTTTTTAGGAACCTTGTTTAACAATATTTTCCAAGCTTACCGTTAAAACAAAATTTACTAGAATATAAATAATATTTTAGAGGGAGTTTTTGAAGATATTTTTAAGTGGAAGTTTAAGCATCTCAGTAAACCTCTTCCTGTTAACAGGTAATGCCATGCCTCTAATTTTAGTTCATTAGTTCAACAGGTTAGTTTTCCAAAGGGTGTCATTCAAGTAGGTGTTTACTTCTGGGTCTTGGCTATGTCACAAACTGTTTCACTTTCTTGGTCTCTCAGAGGTATAGTGGTAGGAGTGTGAATTCTTGAATGCTCAGATGGGTTTTTTGTTACCCTTAACAGTTTTTTCCAGAATCTTCCTACAGGAGCTCTGTTCCAGTCTTACAACTGCTGCTGATACTTTATAACTGTCAGTATTGATGATAACTGTATATGTAAATGTTTTTACTCCACTAATGTTAATGGTTTTCCTCCTTGGTTAGAAGGAAGAGATTGTTTTCAGTGAAAAACTGTTATTCTGATTAGTTTGATTGTGGTAATAATCTTCTCTATATTAAATGCATATTTTCTTTGGATGTTTGAGATCTTGGTGTTTGGGATAGAGTTCTCCAAACTTTTTGTGGGGGAGAGACAGCATATCTGATGGTATTCTGGTTGTTTTTTCTCTTATTTCTTAATTCCCTTCCAACTTAAGGCAATGCTAGTGTATTTTCTTCAATTGGTTCATTGTCTTGGGTTTAAAACCAAATTATAACTAAAGGCAGTTTTCTTTTTACTTTATTCAATGTGCTACAAATAAGATTTACTACTTTGCTAATTTAGCCTAAGAAGGGGGCCGAGAAGCCTTATTTAGAATGTTTACTGTAGTGAAACTTTATGCAGCTCTGCTAGTTGCTTCCTTCAAACCACTTGTTAAGGGTGAAGATCACGAATACTGCCAGTTCAGAGGACTTTGAATGAACTTAGTCCAGACACCTAATTGCAATAGCACTTTCTTATGTAAGTTACATGGTATGCTAAACATTAACTTGCTTAAACTGAAACTTCTCCATATGCCTCTCCTGTCCCTAAATTGCTTGTCAAATGTCAAAATGTGCTTGACCAATTATGGTTGTATTGCATACTGCAGTAGGCCTTACTGAATTTTCTTTCCACAGCTGCTGTTTCTGAATTTTTGCAGTGGGGATTCAGGAGTGATAACAAAGCACAGTCTTAAGAGACAGGAGTGGAATTTTGTATGCTACCCTTTTTTGGGATGGGTTGAGTGTTTTGTCTCATCTTTTTCAAGACTTCTATTTCTGTTTAGTTTTCATATGGTTTTCAATGTTTTCTTGTAGGATATCAGTTTCTTCTGTTGAAAGGGGAGGAAGATAGCTCAGTTGCTTCTCCATGTCTGTGCAGCAGAAAAGTCGTTAACAGATGAGCATACTCGCTGCCACCTCTACATGGGTATTAGTATCGGTCTGCTTACAGGTATCGCTCTAGGCAGCTAAGCGTTCAGAAGAATTCCTTTACTCCATCAAATGACACTGCCTTGTGTGTGCCTTGTGCACACTCCACTCGTTTGGCACACAGCCAGCATGGTGTGAAATAATGTGATTCAGAGTTAGCTTTGGCTAGGTGCCATGGCCTGGTTCTCCTGCTGCTGGTAGGGTAGCTCTGCTCCAGGATATTGATAGCCTCTCAAAGCAGATGGCTTCATTTAGCTTGTCTTAGTTGAGGTACCCACGCTTGTGGTAACTTACTCTGATATTTTTAGCATTCCTGGGGTTCTTTGGCTTCCTGTGCACAAAACTGATACAGACGATCTTAAGAACGAGCCAGTATATTTTGAAGCTTGGGACTGTATATAAATGCTTCCTGGAATCTTTTGTGTTTTCCCCTCCATTCATGTTTGTGGTAATACTGGCTTCCATTACGTGCTTAGTGACCTTGAACAGGCTTCAGTATCAGCTTCGGGATATGTTTTTGAGAGGCTGGAGCTCCCAGTACCTTTCTGTTGAAGGTAGTGCACAAGTCTATTGCATTGATAAATGTGCAGTTATGCTTCTACAAGGAATTCTGATCTGTACATCTCTAGCAAGCATACAGTTCCAGATGTTTTATGGAAACCATTGGAACACTTGATGTTTTAAACATGCTACTAGGTTATTATCACTAAAGGGCATAATGTTTTCCGATGGGAAGATTTAACCACTTTATTAAAAGCGGCCTGGATTTTGGCTTGGTAAGCTCTATCTTACTGGAAAGTACCAAGTTTAGATCCCTTAACATTCGGCAAAAATAACTTGTAAATTGGTAGTAGATTGGATATGGATATAAATTCAAGCAGAATTACCTGACAGAGCTGGGATGCACTGAAGTTTCTAATGCTTCATCTGCTGGGTGAGAGCAGGGAAAAAGGCCAACACAGTCTTTCCAGCAGTTTGTGTATTAGGACTTGCTAAGGTAAGTCTAGAACTCTTGGTTTAGTCTGGAGTAGACAGAACTTCTAGACTTGTGATTTGTCTTTACAGACTGACCAAACAATGGACTAATACTATAGACTACTGAAAACTTAAAGTGACTTCTTGCTGTGCCAAGAGTTGTATTTTCTTACATACTGAGTTTATGGGAAAAGATAATTTTTTTGGACAAGCCTCACTGCTTCAATTTGTCTGTAAGAAGAGCGAATAGTAAGCTAGTCTTGTCCTTTTTGATCACATAATGTGGGCTCTGTGGACTCACGTTTAATACCTATGTGCTTCGAAGTAAAATCTGTGTTCTTCAGTCCTTTCATTACTAAATCTTAAGGCATTGGCAATATCTTCTTTCCATAAAGTATCATGATATGGAAGTCTGTCTGATGTGTTACAAATAATTCAAAATCTTTGGAACAGTCATTTTATATTGCTAAAGAAAAAAATTCTCGCAGCTCTGATTGGCCTGAAAAATTGAGATCTTAGTTGGTCATCTCTACTTTTCCCTGCTATGAAACAATGCTTCTGCTGGTATCTGAATGTCACCATAACTGGCATGTTGATTTCTCCAGCTTCAAAATGTCATTTTAACAAATATTGAGTGGATTACTTTTTTGGGTGAAAAAACAAGGCAGTCAGGAAGTAGTTGCAGACTCTTGGATAATTTACTCTGCAAGATCTACTGCTTCTGGATGGTTAATCATTAAGCAGCTAAGGCAGTGCTTTGAGATAGGCTCAATCACTAGCTAACATGCTGAAAGTGCTAGTCAGGCATGAAAGAGTCATCAAAATTTGCAGCGTTGCTGTCAAGATTTTTTTTTTTTAGTCTACAAAGCACTTTTTTTGTCTGGAGTTTAGTTCTGATCTTGTTATTTCAAGAGTGCTTGTGCTGGTAAGGTTTCCATAACAAAGAATTAAAAAAAAAACATAAAAAAGCACAGGAAAAAATAGTTGTCCTCAATCTGTTTTTGTTTAAAGATAAATTGTTCCTACCAGAGTCCCCTGCTTAGTGCTGAATATTTGCATACTGGTGAAATCTGGGAATTGTTAGCCGTGGTTCTAAGGGCTGAAGCAGGAAAATAGCTGAACTGCCTCAAACGCCAAGGTTTGCAGCTTTCATTTTGAATTAACAGCATATTATCAGGAGATGCTTGATAAAAAATTAACAGTAAATGGCACAGGAACACGCTGATACATTTTCTTGCAGTCCAGTGGGTGATTATTGATCAGAAGTGCACTGGAAGGCAGCATCTGAAGATGGCTAGTTAGGGAAAACACCTTGGTGGTGGGAGATCTCATTAGAAATGCTTTTGGTTTAGCATTTGGGGCAAAGGATATTCTGTTTCAGATAGGGGATGGAGATAATATCTATCATACATTTTCTTACAGCATTCAAAACTCTTCAGCGCTTGTTGATTAAGAAAATTTCTATGCTTCTTCTAGGTTCCACGGACTTTGGAAATGTTACATTTGTAGTCCCAGGGATTCATCCTTATTTTTATATTGGCTCTGATGCATTGAATCATACTGAGCAGTACACAGAAGCAGCAGGTGAGTGGAAGTGAAAAGGGTTAGAGGTTTATCTTTGGAACCCTTGTACATTGTAGGGACTGGTTGCTGACTCTTTGCCATAGCAAATCTAGAAATTATAAATATTTTGAATTACAGAGGATTAAAGCTTTTGTGTGCTTCTATGATATTCAAAGCTGCTGTGTAGTAAATGTATAAAAGTGCAAGTACAGTGTCTGAAAGTGGCTGCATGTGAATGTCTGTATAGAAATGGAGTTGCTTTCTTTGAGCATGTGATTTCAATCGAATATGAGCCCTGAAACAATTAACTTAGTTAATTGCAGAAAAAAAACCTGACAATGTGAGAATTTCTGGGTTTGTGTTTAAAGTTAATGTATATGGGAAGGATGACCTCTCCTCATACTAAAAGCCTGACTTCAGCATACCATCTACCCAGAAGAAATTAGAAGGATTGTCCCTAGCAGCGTATTTGTAACAGTTTATAAACACGAGCCAAAAGATAAAAGTAATTTTAGCTCCTAAAGCACAGTACTCTGGAAGTGTAATAGAGATAACGGTATAAAACTGCATTTTCTAAATTTCCTGTTTTCAGTCTTACTTGTTTACATCAGTAGCAAAAGTTAAGGACTTGCATGTGAAAATTCATTTTAAGGCATCAGAAAATAGGCATACTTCATTTATGGAAGTAGATTTTTAAGAAACTGTTCTTGCAATTGAAACTTGAAGATCTTATTTTATAAAATATGCCTTATGCAGTAAGCTGGTGGTTTGTATCTGATACTAATAATCTAACCTGAAATTTTTCTAATGTTTTTTTCTGTAGGGTCACAGACTGCTCAGTTCTATGCTTTGCGCACAGCAAAAGCTTTGGCAATGACAGCACTGGATGTCATTTTCAAGCCAGGTCTGCTAGAAGAAATCAGGGAAGACTTCAGACAGGTGAAGCTAAAAGAAGAGGGGCAAATAAACCAAGTAGAGCCTAAGCAAGAATCTGGTGTTGGCATAGGAGCGTGTGCATCACGCTAAACTTCATTGAACCTCTCTTGGTAGGGTTGACTTAATGGAGATGCTGTATTTGAATCTCGGAAGGGGCTGGATAAACACATTGCTGAAGAAATGCAGATTGTTTGGGACTTTAGGAGAAGCAAACAGTATAATTGCTTTAAAAATGAGCAATTTCACGTAGCTGTAATGTTTGCTATATTCAGTATGGTGAGGAATTTAGAGAGATCTCATATATTGTCTTTCAGTTGCAGTGTTAAATAAATGATAGTGTTTAGATCCCTTGTCAGCGATTTTTTTAAATATTGCTTATAGCAGTGTCCCTTATAGGGGAAATGTGGCAATTGCATGGACATTTTTGTTCTAAAATAAGCACTGTTCACTCAGTGATCATAGGCTGAATCTGATCTATGAAGCTTTTCTCTCTGGACAGTCACTTTTTGTTGGGACAAGATAGAAGCTTAAAGCCTGAGCTGGTTTCTCTGGAGAGAAGGGGGTATGTTTGGAAGCATGCCTGGTTTTGACAATAGCAGCTTCTAGCAATGGAAGAGAACTGTTTGTATGGAAATGTGATCTGTAAAGGCTGATTGTCCTGAAACACATTGACCTTCCTCCTAATGCATTTTGGAGGTGTTGTGAAGTCGTAGATCAAAAACTGGAAAACAACTAAATGTTTGTTTTAAATTGACACATTTAAACTACTACAGGAAAATGCACGTGCACCTTTAAGTTCTACTCTAGGGCAATATAAGTGTCCACACAAGCTCTTACACTAGCTTAACTGATCTGAAGGATGTGTATAGCTAAACCAGTGGAAATCTTTTTCACAAAGATGTGAGTGAGGTATCATGAAGCAGTAAGTGAAGGTAACTTTAAACTGGCTCTGTGCAACCCCCTATAGTAAGCTCTGAGAAGCTTGCACTGAGGATTGCTTGTGCAGTAGTAGCTGGCTTCTCAAACCTCTTTGTGCCCTTGTCCTAAGCATGGGATCTGTTAAGTCTTGCTGGTTGTCTTTTTTTGTGTGGCTAGTCAGTTTAATCCTTATTACTTTACTTCCCAGAGACAATGTTGCAAGTTTTGTCTAGGTAGTGTTCTGCGTGTCCAAATATGCCAGGTGTATTTGTTCCTTAGCTTGTTAAAGGATCGTGTGAATACATAAAGAAGGAACTATGAACTTTGTTCATATACAAATTGCTGAGTTGGTGGACAGACTGAATGAAAAAGCAGCTTACTGGTTAACATTTTCTAAGCATAGGTATTATAGTGAGCTTCTGAAAAGAAGTCAGGCAAACTGTATTGCCCAGGAAGTCAGAATACCCAAAATAATTTCAAAAACTTGTTTAACAGCACCAGTCTGTTAAACTCTAGAATTCTAATCAGATTTTTAAAATTTCTATATTCAATTTCTAATTTTGGAGAAAAACAGATTCCATACCTGGGTTTAACTGTGTACTTCCTCTGCATTTCTGCACATACTCTTTAAGACAGACATTTAATAATTCTGTTGAGACTTTCCCTTCTTAGAAGGAAAAAAGTGTGACTAGGCTGGCTTCTGTTTATCTGTCATGTAGATGGTGTAGACAACATAGTTTGACAGTTTTTAGACTTTCTGATGCTTCAGCTTCTGTGCTTATAGTGATAGGACACAGACTATCTGTTAATATATTGAATGCTCAGTGTCTTTGGAAAACTGAAGTAACTGTGTATCTGTTTCTGTAAGAACTAGAGGCACAGTTAAAGGGGTTTGTTTTGTGTTACAAGCCAGTTATTTGAAGAGTTGAGCATGTCTGTAAGTATTCCAGGTTATAAGATGGTCTGTCCTTACACCAGTATCCTTGCTTTCAGTAGCGGACAGTTTGATGAATGCACAGAACAGATGCGAGTTGGGCTTTGAGCTATAGGTACATCCAGGATAGTAAGTCGGATACTAAATCCAACTGAAATTTGGTCCAAAGTTTGTCAAAGAAACTTTGTGTAACTTTCGATTTAAACCCTGCCTTGTCAGTTCTCAGACACAATTATAATTCATTACGTTCTGCTGGGTTAACGAGCTAGTTCATTAATTTCCTTTATGTGACTTTTTATTTTCTCCTGCGTGAACTGATTAATTTCTTGCAGTGCTGTATTTGAGATGGAGTGTTGGGATCTCAGTGACAGCAGTACATTGTTTTCTTTCCTACAAGCTGGTGTGTGTGTGTTACAGCTTTTTTTGTCCAGACTAGCTGGCTGTTGGCCGCATCATGTCCAAGATCATTAATTTAAACATTTCTGCACTAAAAGCACATCTTGATTTTGTTGTAATTGTTGCTGGAATTAAAATGAAACTGAAGTACTGATGAAAGATGAGTTGATATCAATAAAGCAATTTAATTGTGACTGAATTTTCTTGTCTTTTGATTAATATTGGGATGCTTCATGACTTCATTTGGATCACATTTGGTCCTACCCCCTGCCGAGTTTGGTGTGATTATGTAAGAGTGAGGGTGTTTTAAGCTTTCCATTTCAATCTTCTCTAGTGAGCAGGTTTTTTTGTGAGGGTTAATGCTTTTCAAATGCAATATTTAATGGTAGTCTTTATAATCTTAGGGCTGTTTTAACTATTAAAGCACATTAGAATTAACAGAATAATAGGAATGGTGCTTGGGAGGGCTTGCTGGAGGATCTCTGTTAGGCTGAACCTGGTCCAGCCTCCAGCTTGGAAGTGGGATTATCACCAACACTAGATCAGGTGAGCTTGGCTTTGCTTCCTAAATCCTAGAAGCCTCCAAGGACAGAGACTTCAACTTCCCTAGGCAAGTTAATTCTGATTTGTGTCTCAGAATGTTTGATCTTAAGGTCCAGAACTAAACCAGCTTGGTATTCAGTGTTAGGATTTGACTATTACAATGATTTTATATATGAGAGAAATTTATTTCCTGTGGGAATAAAAGTTTGATTTTTGGTAATTTGTGCTCGTGAACCACATGTATATGAAAATATCTGGCATATTTTTTAAGTTATCATCACTGTGGTCCTCCCCAAGCTGTTTGTAATTTAAGAATATTGGAATAGTTGTCAAGAATTTTTTGTACTTTTAGCAATGAATCAGAATGTTTAGGTAATAAACTGTGGTTGCTGATATGATTCTGAACAGCTGATAGCAAACCATGGCTGTTTAAGGGTGAGGTGATTGTGTCCAGACCTTGTGAAGAACTTGAAGCCTCTACCAGCCTATCAAGGTACAGTGTTTCCTTATTTAATACCTCTCCTAGAACTTGGATGAAAGATATGCCTAGTTTAAAAGAAAACAAAAAACCATGAAATGCAATGGATTTCTTTTTATTAAAAGATTTGAGGGAGAGAACTTGTAACCTGCTGAGTTAAGCTGCCTGGTGTAGAAGGGTCCAGCAGCCTTTCTTCAAACACTGGATGGGGAGCAGCTTTAGGTTCTTGTGAATCATATTTCCGTAATCATTTGGTTCCTATTGCCTGAGTGTACCTGATTACGTTACAGTCCCAGAGAGGAAGACTATGTTCCTGTGAATAAGTCATAACGCATTAGCTGTTGAAGTAAATCTTTGTCTAGTATTCATTAAGAGTGGTCTTCTCATAATTTGCTAACAGTGTTCTTTACTTTTATTTAGAGCAAAGTATTTGGGATTAAATAATTTTAAAATGAAGAAAAAGTTGTTCTACATGATTTCCTGTTTTTCCCCAAGATTTACTATTTTCTGATCCTGAAAGTAGCAGCCCTCTGCAGAGCCTTTGTCCCCCAGCCTGGCTGGCTGCTGCTGGCATCTGCATTTGTTGTTTTTATTAGTGCAGCCACCTCACTTCCAGCCTGCCAAGGTGACAGTACGGATTCGTGCTGCTGCTTTGTAACTGCTGTGCCAGATTTTGGTGGTTTTACGAAGGATCCAAAAGTGCATCTCTTGTAAGAGTCCTTAACTCAAATTCTGTACTAAGCCAAAATTGGATTAGATTGCTGCTGGTTTAGCTTCCTTTAGGCGCTAATGGAAGCCAAAAGTATCCGACAAACTCACTGAGGATTTTTCTCAACCACAACTGCACCTGAACTTCCTTATTTAAAAGTAATGAGAAACCAAATGCCTCAGTCCTAGGTAGGAAAGAAGTCCCCATGGTTGTAGATACTCTTAACAGCCGTAAGCTATACACGGTTACGTAGTGCTGTCATTTATGACCTGTACAAAGTTATCCTTTCAGCTGTTTAGTCTCAAAGCAAACAAGCAAATATAATACTGGCTCGTCCTGTCTTAGCTTCTCAAGACCCTATTGAAGGATAAAAGCACACGAATGTGGAACTTGTTCATCAGAATTACAGCACTGGAGTTGTATTTCATAAGCACTGTTCGGTAAGTACTTGTAATTCATCAGTTGTCATTTTCTATAGTTTTCCTGTTTATATATACGTCCAGTTCTTGGAGACCAAAACGTGCTTCTCACCCTACAGTTTGTTCCGCTTTCACAGGTTTGTTTCAGTGTCTGAAGGGCCTCGTGCGTTGTACTGCCACAGAGATGCTCGTGTCCTGTTGCAGAACTTGTGGTACAGGTTGTCTCAGTTGCTTCTCATTTCTCATTTGCTGCTGCTTCAGTTGCCCCATCAAATAGTGTGCTGCCATACGGGCAGGTGCAGGATGGGGGAGTCCCAGGGGTTTCCACTTGCTCATCAGGGTTTGTAGGGAGTTTGCATCTGTTTTGTACTGAGGGAATCACTTGCTCGGGTGTGCAACATGTGGAAAAAGAGACATATAATTATTGTGAGAATATCCTTTTACTGGGGAAGAAAATAGATCATATTGATCTTTCTTCGTGCCTTCTTGCTATGCTATCTGTTTCTGACAGAAGTTTATCTTCCTGCTGCTTTACCCTGTCAGTAATTGTAAGCATCCTTGAAGACTCTTAAAGGTTTCAGTCTCCAAAGCTCTTAATCTAGACATGCCCACGGGCAGAACTTGTCCCTGTCCATGGTCCACACAGACCTGTCCATACACTTCAACTTCTGAAAACGGCATCGTCCTAGGCTG